TCAGTCTTCAAATGAAGGTTCTTAAACTTTACTCCATCCCCATCAATTTGTTTGACTCTACTCTGAGAGGGCAGCTTGTCCTCGGTCATATTTTGAGTGCCTTCTGATAGGGTTCCTGTTCTGGCAATATATCCCACAATGGTCTGCGTCTATTTACAAGGTTTTCCGTTTCTGACAGTGTTTCCCTACTTTCTATAAGTGGCTAATTCTTGAGAAGTGGACAGCCCATTTCTTTTTTCATAGTCTATGCTTAGTTTGTAAGCTTTGCTAAAACCTGTTCACTCTAGGTTACCCAGATGGTTATTTGAAATACCAGTGACATTGCTTCCAGTACCACAGCAACCTGCAAGCTATCACCATATGACAACGACAGAGAAGTGGTAGTACTAGAGAATAAAAAAATAACAAACTCATCACCCTCGAGTTAATTCTGTCCCTGTGAGTGCCATGTGTCAGCCTTTTCTCCATTTCTGCCCTGCCTTTGCCATTTCCATCCACCCAGTTTCTTGGCTCTTCTCATGTTTGCTTTGGGGCAAATGGTGCTCAGTGACACAGAACAATCCTTGCTTTGGGGCACATGGTGCCCAGTGACACAGAACAATCTGTATATAAATTGTTAAATGGGAAACCAATTTCCTATATAAACACTCATCTAAAAATACAATAAAATGTTCAAAAATAAAATACAGATACCCTATAGCTAATTGGAGATTATCCATTTTAACATGAGGATGCTCTTTCAGGAATATTACCACCCTTCCCCATTCTAAGTAAGTGGTTGTTTTTTTGTTTTTTTTTAGTAACATACAGTGTTCTCTCGAAAGGAACTTTTGGCAAATACGATTTTCAAACTAAAAAACCCCATGAAGATCAGTCGTGCTCTGTAAACATGCGGGGTCACCATGAGTGAATCAACTCCTTGACAATGGGAAAATGCATTGGCTAGTCCACCCATTATTATGGCTGTTTCCAATATAAATGTGAGATTTGATGATCATTTCTGGATTTCACTTCTCCATAAACTTGATTTTTTCTTCGTTGTCCCTGTTCAGCAAATCCATTTGTCTGTCCAAACTGCTGCCACCCAGATATCCATCATCTTTCTTGCCTGAAACGGTCTGTTTCCATTTTACCTCTTGACAGTCTGTTTTTCCCTATGCAGTAGGCAGAATGATGTTTTAAAAACGGACACTTCATACATTGTTACCTTCTACTTAAAACTTTCTTTGGTGCTTGGAATAAAAGCTAAGTTAATTGCCACTGTTTAAAAGGTCCTGCGGGATATGTTTGCTCCTTGCTTATTCCTTTGTCCCAGTCTTTTGCTTATGCTACTCCCTCCCTCATTTGCTCTGCTCTAGCCTCCCTGGCCTCCTCTCTCCTGTAGATACAGCATGCTTGTTCCTGCTTTTGTGGCTTTGCACCAGCTGTTTCCTCTGCCTGGAATTCTCTTCGCCCAACTCTGCCTGGCTGGCCCCTTTATGTTATTCAAGTGTCAGAGTTTACCTCCTCCAGAAGTCTTCCCCGGTTTTCCTATGTAAAACACCTCCTGTTTATCACAGTATCTTGTTTTATTCTCTTCATCAAATGTAACAGTATTAAACCATCTTTATATCTTTGTATGTCTGATGCTTCTCCTCTCCTTGCTAGAATTTAAATTTTATGGGATCTTTGATATTGTCTGTCTCATATCCTTTGTATTCCTAACACCTAGGATATTGCCCAGTGAATAGCTAAATGAAAGAAAGTCAGCCAATGAATGACTCCAATTAAGAAATAAGCTTTTTAACATCCTAGGGCTGTTGGTACCAGATATTGATGCGGCAAAGGAGGAAGATGAGGCAGAACACAAAACACCCATTTTCCTAGTCTTGGGAAAGGCATAAAGTAAATAATGTGACGTGTAGCTCAGTAGTGAATCTGCCTACTCAAAACAAAACCAAAAACAAAAAGAACACATACGTAAATCAGTTTCACATGGAAGGACAGAGTTATTCAAACAAACCTGAGTCAGATGAATCCTGAACATTTCCAGTTCTATTAATAAGTTTAATCTTTAATGTTTAGAAAATGATGATGGCAACATATGTACAAATATGCTTGATACACTTGATGTGTGGGATGTTATAAGAGCTGTATGAGCCCCCAATAAAATTATTAAACATAAAAAGTTTAGTCTTTGAACTATGTAGTTTGATAGTTTGATCCTCAAATCCCAAAAGGACACTTCATTGTAAGTGTGCATTTAAAGCACTTCAGGTTGAATATAACGTAAGAGAAAAAATTCTTTGTGTTACTTGTAGGATCATTACTATCATTTGAGTATAGTTTTATTTTATAGTGCTCTAACTTAATATTTTCTGTAAGTATTTTAAAATAACTATTTTATAAAGAGATTATAGTCTAAGAGGGAAATAAATGTTTTAGTGCATTTTATAAAATGTACCCCAAAGAATTTTTAACATGGAAAGAAATGAAGAATGTGTTCTTAGAACCTGTGCAAAATTAAACCAGTTATTATTACTATTTAGTTGCTAGTGAAATGAAGCAGAATAGTCAATGAGATTAGTTTAGTCATTCACATAGGCTACTGTTATTTCAGAGCTAGTGATTTATGTTAGGTATATTTGGATTTGAGTTAAAGTTTCTATCTTGCTGTTTTCTTTTCACATTCCAATAACCCAACCCAAACCACTGCCACCCATCCCTAGTCCTAGTCCTGCAGGACAGTTCTACACGGTTCCCTAAAGTTTCAGAGGCTGTAAATCTTGACAGAAGCACACTGCTCATCTGTCTCCCACCTTGCATTTCTTCTGTGGACCAGCTTGGGGGTTTCAAACTGCCAACCTTTCGATTAGTAGCCCAACTCTTAACCTATAGCACCAAAGTAGTTCTGGACTAAAGAAGTCGTAAATGAAGTTTGAGTTAGTCTTTTTAAAGCTCCCATACCTCACATTTATTTTCAAATGGCCGGGCACTTGAACGTGGCTCGCAAAGGAAGATATCCATTTACTCCAACAATGTCTCATTCATTACATAATTTTTCAGAATAGTCTTCAGAGCCAGTTTTGGAAATATGAAAGAAAATACACTCCGTGCCTTATTTTATAAATGAAAAACCTCACCCTTTTCCCCTAAACGGAGACAAGTTCTTCCTCAGTTGACTTCGCATCATGAGCATCACTAGGGGAGTTCGGGGTGGGGGAGGGGATTGCACCAGGTGACATAGTTACAGGGGAGGTACCAAAATGACTGTCTTTAAAATTGTACAGGAAGGGTTTCGTCAAAAGTATATTTTTAAAAATTCTCATAGACATTTTTTATTAAGCCAAACTTCCTTATGTATCCATGTACTTAAGGTTAAAACTACACTGATTTACTTTTTGAACTTTCTGTTCGCTCTGCTCAGAGCTGTCATTATTGCCCAATTACAATGACTCTCTGAATGACATAGTTTTATCTGCGTGCACTGTTAGCACATGTTGTTTTCCTCGCTGCTGGTGTTTTTATAGCTGCTGATTTTGTCAGATTTCCTGACACTAGCTAGAATATTATGGTAATTCGTCTTTGTGAACTTATATCAATACTTTTTTGAGAATACAATAATAGTTAAAGGAAACAGAGAAGAAAAATGAACAAAGACTGCCGCTTAGTTAACTTATAATATAAATAAAATGCTGTAATTCAATGTGAAAGGACTTTTCAAATCAATGCATTTGTTAGCATTCATATAATTTAAGAAATACTACATTTAAGCAATTTACAATTATTTTGTTACTTATTATTTTATAACTAAAATTAATAATAAGCATTACTGAGGATTTTGTGTTGGAAAGTGTGTGAGTGTGTGTGTGTGTGTGTGTGTGTGTGTTTGTGTGATTTAACACAGATGGTCGCACCAACTCTTGATACCACTGCCTCATACTGATATATTTTTTTAAGAAGCCAATAATGAATGCTGTTGTGCCACTGAAGTGATGTCGTGTAGGTCATCAAATTTATCTTGTAAAGTAAACCTGTGTGAAGAACAAGGAACATCACATAATGGTGATGTTATAGATTAAAATAAATTAAACTATTGACACCTGATTGACAAACTTGTCTCCCCACCCTGTTAAATTTGCGTTTTATCCAAAATTGAGTGTACTGCATTATATCTTCCTAAAGATTGGTAAGTTAGGGCCTGTCACATCTAGAGGAAGTGCCTGCCTCAATGGGAAGAAACACAACATCTGGAACCAGAAAAAGGCCCAAAGTGGGCTCCTTTTTGCACCAACTAAGTCAGCGCTATGGCCCTGTACTTAAAATATGAACATTGATCTATTCTTCTTTTAGAATGTTGCCCTCAAAGACTGCAGACCTATTTTGGGTTTTACACTTAGTGTTAAAAGTCAAGATAACACTTGTTTGTGAGGAGTAGTTACACAGTGTTGGCATTTGTTGTTAAGAAGATATGTAAGTTGAATACACTGCGTGATAAATGAATTACTTCTCATAGGGCAAGTCTTGATGGTATTGGCCTTTATGACTATTGAAGACATATTTGTTCTGTAAGCCCGTGGGTTCGTTTTGATATTTTTGGTTTTAATCTTTTTTTAAATTTTATAACTATGACCTTTTATTTGCTACATTTGTGAACCTTTCCTTTTAAAATATTTTCTTCACTCTCTTTTGCAAGCTGCACATCGTTGACTCCTGGACCTAACTGTGACCGATTTAAGCTGCACATACCATATGCTGGAGAGACCTTAAAATGTGAGTAAATGATGACTGCTCCCCCCGAAGTACAGATCCCAGTGCTAGTTACTGACTTTTCTGCTTTTGTTCTTATTACAAACTGTTAGGTGCTATTGTCGAAGACCTGGAGCACTAGGATTTGCTATTTTCTTTATATGTCATTCAATCCTAGTTTTATTCAAAGAAAGGCAGTGAACAAGAATACATGACAATCAAATAGTCATGTGTGGAAATTACAAATTTCCTAGCATCTACAATATTCTTTTATTGTATAGTCTTTCTAGCCAGCTCTTTGGAAATACGTCATCAAAGAGGGTCCAGTCCTTGAAACTGTAGTTTCCAAGCCATTTTAGGAAGAAATTGCTGCTGTCCACCACTGCTGCGGACCCTCCTCTGGAAGCCCTGCTTCCATGAATGGGGAGCTTGGATGTACTCCCGATGACTACAGAGTGTGTGAGACCTCGCTCAAGGACTTCCGGCATGGGTTAGGAATAGTAATATCTTACTACTGTATAATGAGAGCCAAATATAAATGACTACCAGGGTCAGACTGCTAACATAACAGGAAAAGTAAGCTCAGTAGTAAATTGGAGTACCCTCTTTCAAGGGAACTCTACTCTGTATTGCCTCTCCTGTGTCTTGAAAGAAGTAGAAATCTGGATATTATACGAATTCTATCCGTTTTGGGGATATGGACCTACTGCTGTCAGGTACCATTGAGTCAGTTCCAATTCATAGCAGCCCTATGTACATAGAGTTGAACAGAATGCTACCCAAACTGTCTCATCACCATCACTGTGTCTGTTCACTTCTTGAGGGTCTCCCCCTTTTTTACTGACAGTCCACTGAACATTGATGTTCTTATCCAGGGACGAGTCTCCCCTAAAAAGATGTCCAAATGATGTGAGATGAAGTCGCCCACCTTCCTGTCTTCTAAGAAACTTTCTGGCTATACAAGGGCACTTCTAAAAGTTTGTGAAGAAATAGAATTGCAAGGTAGTAGAATTTTTCCATGAACTTTTTGAAGCTCCCTTGTAGTTCTTCCAAAACAGATTTGTTCTTTCGTCAGTTCACTGAGTAATCAATACTCTTTGCCAACACCACAATGCACGTGCAGCCGTTCTTTTCCTGTCGGTCTTTCTTCTCAGAGTCTAGGGTTCTTCTTCTTGTGAGGTAACTGAAAATGCCATGGTTTGGCTCAGGTGTGCATGAGACCTCAGCATGACATTTTAGTTCTTTAACACTTTAAAAGTTCTTCTTCAGCAGATTTGCCCAGTATAGTACGTCATTTGATTTCTTGATTGCTGCTTCCATGAGCATTGATTGTAGATAAGCTTCTCTCTTTGTTCCATTTATCAGTTGTGAAGATTGTGTTTTCTTTATGTTGAGGTGTAATCCATACTGAAAGCTGTAGTCTCTGTTCTTCATCAGTAATTGCTTCAATTCATCATCTTCACTTTCAGCAAGCAAGGTTGTGTGATCTGCATAGTTTAGGTTGTTAATGATGCTCCGTTCTTCTCCATATATTCCAGCTTCATGGTTCTTACGTATTTCTGTAGTAGATGTTGGTCATTTTCTCAAAATCCAAAATATTGTGGACCAAAACCTAATGTGTCTCTGGACTGGCTTAAACTCCTGGATCACTGGTTTTGTGACCCCAGAGGGCTAAAGTGCAAGATTTATTGATTCAGCCCACCATCTATAGCAGCGGTTCTCAATTTGTGGGCCGTGACCCCTTTGGGGTTGTCAAACAACCCTTTCACAGGGGTCACCTGATTCATAACAGTTGCAAAAAAAAAAAAATGAAGTAGCAATGAAAATAGTTTTATGCTTGGGGAATCACCACAACATTAGGAACTCTATTAAAGGGTCGTGGCAATAGGAAGGTTGAGAACCACTGATATATATAGTAAAGTCTGGCCCTGGGGCCATAAAAGACTCACAGTATCATCACTACCAGCTAACATCACATGTCTCACCAAAGAGAAGTAGTTTGAGCTATCACATTAAATGAGTTAATTAAATGTTTGACCATTTGGGCTCATGAATGATGTTATAAATATCCAAATGGCAACAAAAAGGTACCTAGCCCTGATCCATAGTGTTTGTCTGAATTATTTCTAAATAACGCAAGTGGGTGACTTTAAGCAGATAATGTATCTTGGCTCCCAATTTTATATTAACTCCTCTCCTTCTACATCTCTTCCTTCAGTTCCCAACTTTTGTCTTCTGTTCTTTTCCTTATATATTGTTAAGGTTGATAACTTAGTGTCTACTGTAAAACTATAATTGTCTTCTCTGATTAACAAAGAGATTGTCTCTTTCGCTTCAATCGAAAATGATTGCTCTGCAGACCTACTTCTGCTCATTTTGTTGACATATGGGGTTTGCCTGAATTTTTCTCTTGGATTTGGCTTTGTTTTGTAGACTCTTTGTTTCTCATTTTTTGGTGAACACATTATGCCCTTATCTTGCTAGAACACAGGCTCTAATCACTTTCTGCGATGCCACCCCTATGCTTTCCTGTAGCCCTCTGATCATATGTTTATTACCAGTCATACTTAGGTTTCTTAATTCGTAAGAGCTGTTTCTTGTTCTACATTCCTTTTTCACAGCAGCTTGTTCTTATTTTATGACTTCAGTACAATCTTTCAAAGGAAATAAATTTATGACTATATTAAATGTTTTTCTTCTGTTCTCTGCATATCCCTACCACCCTCTACCCTAGTTATTTTTTTCATCATTTCCCCCTCTGTTATTCTGTAGACTTTCTTCAAATAAGTGGTGATTTTTGATGTTCCATTTATATGTAATACACATAATAAAACACTGATAGGGATTTCTGTACAGATGAACCTGGTTTATCAAGTGGGTGAATGGTGGGCCAGCTGTTAGCATGGGGCATCTTTGTATGTCATATTGTGGCGTTCTGAAGTTCTTGCTTTCTCCAAACAGCTGGTTCAGTTTTTTAAGAGAGAATCTGGTAAGGTTTCTTGAGTGGGTAGTATCTTGGTTCTGGGCTTCACATAATTAAAGAATTCATGCCGAAGGCCGTTTGCAATCCAAGTGGGTTTTTATGAAGGACGGGCTAAGTTTCAGGTTTTAGAGTCTCAAAGGGGTTCACAACTGGGCCCAAACAACCTGATGGAAAAGAGCACTCACAGGTGCGGAACTCGGGGGAGGCGGGATTCCAGGAGGCCAGAAGCTCAAGAACCTTAGAAGCTAAGAACATGTGGGCCCAAAGGCCGTGGACCCCGAGTAGGCCCAGAGCGGGTACATGTGGTCCCCAAGCAGGCCCAGAGTGGGCCCTAAGGGGGCACGCCCAGGTGGCATGTGTGCTCCCCCACCTTCTAACCCGCTTCTGACCAGGATCAGGGTAAAGAGAGGATCCCCTTCCCACAGCCAGGAAATTTCAAGCCTGTGGCTGGGAGGCGTGATTGATGGTATTGGTTGACTCCATTGGTTAGGTTAAGCCCACCTGGGTGATGTCATGAGTCTGAGCCTAGTTTGGACCTCACAGGTGCACCTCCCATCTGGCTGGGGCTTGCCTAATTTCCTCCCAACCTCCTCTGGGGGGCCTCTGCAGGCATGTGAAGGACAACCCCCAGTCCCTAACTCTAGCTACCTAACAAATCTTGCCCGTGGAGCATTTAGTTAATCCTCTGTTCATAGCCTCGTGCCTTGTTCTTGCATCTGCTTACACTGAATGACTACACATTTTTATAGATCCGCCTGGACTGATGGCTTCTTCCTTGCCAGTAGCCTGAAAAACATGGACATTGAAAGTTCCTTGGAACACAATTCTACTCTGACACACCGGAGTTGGAAATGACAGTAACTGGTTAAGCTCTATACTAAATGAATAATTAGTGAGCTGTGTGTAATGGGATTCTTTAACATTAAGATGAGTGAGGATCCTAGCCTAAGCAGCCCAAAGCCAAGTTAAAGGGAGGACGCCACTGATCAAGGAAATTGTGCATCCAAAAGTAAATTGAATTGGAAAGATAAGTCAAATGTTTTGGCTTTTTCTTCTGAAACTCTTGACTTAATTTAGGAAAGTTTTCTGAAGAATGTTGGCCATATGCTTAAGTTTAGTGTTGGAATCAGGGTGTGCCATGGGGTTACAGAGCCAGAAAAATATTAACAAATTGAAGAAAAGGCATATAAATTTCTTCGAGGCCTGAAAAGGAGGTAGTGTTGAAGGGGCGTTTCCCTCCTTGGTTAAAAAAATTACCTTACATTTTTTCAAACTGGTAAACTTTGAGATACTTTAGTGATACGGATGCTGTCATAACCTTTGTTACATATCCATCTAGAAAGTAATTTTAAGTGTCAGTTACAAATGTTAGGTGACAGCCACCAGTTCTGACCCACAGGGACCCTTGCACAAGACAAAGAAACACTGCTCCTACGCCTTCTTATGTTAGATTTCTCGAGTGGGAAATACCTCGGTTCTTCTTGGCTTCGCATGAGAAAAATTCACGCCAAAGCCTGGTTTATGATCCAAGTGGGTTTTTATAAACGATGGAAGAAGTTGCAGGCTTTACAGTCACGGAACACAGGCAATCTTGTGGGGCTGCACACCCACTTATGGTAGCCTGAGGCCAGAGAGACCGGAGCACAGAGGAGCAGAATGGTGAAGAGCCCCCAAATCCCCCAACACAGTCAAGTTATTTGAGGCCATGGCTGGGAGGCGTTGTTGAAGGTATTGGTTGACCCCATTGGCTGAATTAAGCCCGCCTGGGCCTAGTTTGGGCCGCCCAGGTGTACTGCCCACCTGGCTTGGCCTTGAATTGGCGCATGCCCAGTTAGTCTTTATAGCTGGCTGAGGGCTCCCTGATGCTCCTCCAACCTCCTCTAGGGGGCCTTCAGGCATGGGACGGACAACCCTTCGCTGTTTCTCCCTCCCTGACAGTTGTTCCTATGCTTGAGCCCAGTGTTGCAGCCATTGTGTCCGAGCGTCTCGTTGGGGCCTTCCTCTACTTTACCAAGCAAGGTGTCCTTCCTTCTCCAGGGAC